GACGCGAGAGAGAGAGAGAGAGAGAGAGTATATATTATGAGAGACACTCAAACAGATAGACAGACAAACAGACAAGAGACTGATAGATGAACATACAGATAGAGTAAAAGATAACCGCTAGGCTAATTCTCCACTTCTTTCTCCACTCTTCTCCACTCAATTTAAAGATCGTCCGCGCGAATCCTAGACCCTGCCGCCACCCCCCGTAACCAAGGGAACAAAGGGAAGAGGTCGGGCCAATGCGCACTGTACTTTCCCTCGATTAGAATGTGTCCTTGACTTCCCACCTCTGTTTTGACTTGGGTTCGCTGGGAGGAAGGAAGTCGTTGACCATTAATTGGCCCAATGGTGTGTGTGACAGGCTTTCTTTGCACTGCTGTGGACGAACATTGCTTGCGATTTGATTGCAATGGTTGAATATAAATATTTAATTATCAGCTTTGTTTTTTCTTCATATTGAAATTCTTCTGTGAAAGTAATGTTATACAGTTTAAATTCTATGCATATCTACGTTGTCTTCATAATTTCTTTACAACCACAAAATGTTCCTTCAGTGACAATAGAGGATTATATTACCTAATATTATCTTACCTAACCTTACCATATCTTGTCTTATCTTTGCCATCAGCACTATCAATTATTTGGATCATGTCAAGGGTGGGACATTTCGATCTATGCTTGCCAGGGTTAATCTGAGCTGAGCAGCATGCTCGCTTTCTACGTTTGTAATAACCAATGAGGAAGCTTCTGCATTCATTCCAGTATTGACCAAGATAACCCCAAGGACAGTAATTTGTCTTGTGATTGTTTTCATCGTGAGTCACTCCCCTTTCAAAACCCACAAGCGGGGGGCTCTCGTGGCCTTGAAGTTAAGGTGTTGGCCTCTCTTTCAAAGGTCCTGAGTTCGAATCCGGGTAGCGACCGAAAGATTTTTTTCTCTAAAATTGTCTCGTTTCACCTCCTTTCCTGCTCTCCAGCAATGTTCTGTCGTCTGCTTTCGTTTTCTCTTTCTGCCCCCACCCCCTCACCTCCTTTGCCCCTCCTCTGGGCTCCTGACTCTTTCTGGAACTTCTGGTAGGAAAAATCTACACCTAGCCTTCTCCAACAAGGGCGAAAAATGTCGGAGGGCCGTGTGCAAGTTGCGCTCGTTAAATATCTCTTGGTGGTCTAAAATAGATGAGAGTAGGCTTTGGCCGCCACCCGAGCAAAATTCAAAATTTCCTACCAACTGAAAAAGTTTAATGTGTCCCGCGCGCTCTTATGACCTTAAGCAGTTGCAAGCGCCGTAAAACACTCCCACCCCCCTAAAAAAAAACCCCAAAAAACGACAACAAACAAACAAACAAAAAATCCATAAGCTTCCTACCCAGAGGGAATTATGGACAACCTTTTATAGCGTCATTTTTCTGTAAAAGGTTACGCTTCTTGTTAGGAATATAAAAATTAATTCATTGTCCCAGTTTTAAAAAAAAAAGTCAACAACGACTCACATAATACGACCAAACAGGAGTGGGTCATAGCTTATGAGAACCCCCC